TGCATTAAATATATCATGCCATTCTCTTCTGGCCTGTAAGGTTTCTGTTGAGAAGTCTGATGATAGCCTGATGGGTTTTCCTTTGTAGGTGACCTTTTTCCTCTCTCTAGCTGCCTTTAAAACTCTGTCCTTGTCCTTGATCTTTGCCATTTTAATTATTATGTGTCTTGGTCTTGTCCTCTTTGGGTCCCATCTCTCGGGAGTTCTGTGTGCCTCTGTAGTCTGATCAATTATTTCCTCCCCCATTTTGGGGACGTTTTCAGCGATTATTTCTTCAAAGACACTTTCTATCCCTTTTTTTCTCTCTTCCTCTTCTGGTACCCCTATAATGTGGATATTGTTCATTTTGGAATGGTCACACAGTTCTCTTAGTACTGTTTCATTCCTGGAGATCCTTTTATCTCTCTCTGCATCAGCTTCTATGCGTTCCTGTTCTCTGGTTTCTATTCCATCAATGGCCTCTTGCATTTTATCCATTCTGCTTATAAATCCTTCCAGAGATAGTTTCATTTCTGTAATCTCTTTCTGGACATCATTCCCTTAGCTCTTGCATATTTCTCTGCAGCTCTGTCAGCATGGTTATGACCTTTATTTTTGAATTCTTTTTCAGGAAGATTGGTTAGGTCTATCTCCTTCTCAGGGGTTGACTCTATGATTTTGGTCTGTATCAAATTCTTCTGCCTTTTCACGGGATAGAGGTAGTTGTGTGGAGCTGGCACATGTGTCAGCTGGGAGAATGTCCCTACTTGCTTGTTTGTGGCCTTCCTCTCCTGGGCGAAGAGTGACCTCTAGCAGCTTGTGCTGGGCAGCTGCGTGCAGACGGGGCCTCTGATTCTTGCCTGGCCACTGTGGAGTTAAGCTCTGTGGTTCCTGTGGGGGGGGTGGCTGGCCTCAGTCTTCTGCTCCAATATGGTGGGGCAGCGTTGGAGGGGAAACAGGCAGGAGGCTGTTTATCTCCATGAGGGGCCTCCAAGCTGCACTGCCGCTCAGGGGGTTAGGACACCCGGAGTTCCCTGGGATTCCCAGCTGTTGGGTTAAGTGTCCCGGGACACTTCCATCCAGCAGTGGGGTCCCTGTCCCTTTAAGACTTTCAAAAAGCACTCGCTTTTCTTTGTCCCAGGGGCACTGACTGTGGGGACCCACTCACAGGTCTTACTGTCCTGTTTCCCTGGTTTCCAGTACCCCAAGCACTGTGTGTCTGTGCTCTGGTGTGGATGGCTGGGGCTGGTTATTTAGCAGTCCTGGGCTCTCTCTCCCTCCCCGCTCCAACTCCTCTCCTCCGGCCAGGAGCTGGGGTGAGGGGCATTCGGGTCCCACTGAGCCGCTACTTGTATCTTACCCCCTTCACGAGGAGCTGGGTTCTCGCACGTGTAGATGTAGTGTGGCTGTTGTCCTGTGTCTTCTGTTCTCTCTTTTAAGAATAGTTGTATTTTGTATTTGTTGTATTTTCAAAAATATATATGGTTTTGGGAAGAGATTTCCACTGCTCTACTCACGCTGCCATCTTGGCTCTGCCCTCACAAAATCATTTTTAAAGTTTTGTAGATTAAACAATGCCTTTATGTGCTTCATACTCCCAGCTCTATTGACAAAAAGTCAAACTTTTGTTCCTGCAAACTCACCTGTCTCCACAAGCTCCCCAGTCTTCAATCCTCTATCAGACATAGCACCTGAAGCTCATTCTTGCCATCCTAACACCATTTCCAACATTATTTCTCTTCGTGCTGCTTTCCTCTTTGAGTCTGCAGCTAAGAAACTCAGGTTATAATGTTTGGATGCAGCATTCCTTACGTTCTGAAAGGTTTTTTTAAAAATGTGTCCTACTTTATGTTCTGTGAATTGCTCAGGGAGAATAAAATAGGTGTGAATGTATGAATGTGACCTCTTGAAACATTTATGGTTATTTTTAAAACTGCAAATCATTTCTTTAAAAAGGGGTTTACAAACCACTCACAGGTCCACAGAATTTGTTCTTAGGATACAAAAAAATCACTTGCTTGTTAGTCATAAAATACATATCTACATAAGGTCAACTGAATTCATGATTATTGTAGACAAACTCTGCCCAGTGCTCTTAACTATCAGGAATAACAAATGAGCAGGACATAGCCCCAAGGCTGAAGAACACATTTTAGTACAAAGTTAATGATATAAATAAAAAATTAAAACACAGGCTTGGTGAGTAACAGAATGGAAGCATGCACATGGTATGCCAAAAGGCACCAAAAAAGGAGCTTTTGTGGGTTTTCTAAAGCTCCTTCAAAGGCCTGCCTGCCAAAAATATGCACATTCTTCCCCCAATCTGCCATGGTGTGTATAATATTGACAAGGAGAGTTATTCATTTGTAAAAATGAATTGTTTCCAGAAAGCCCACATACCATGTTGGTGTTTCTTAGAAAAGCATGATTCCCTAACAGGATCATTAGCACAGATTCGTTTGTACTGGAAAAAAAATTTTTTTTTTTTAAATGGGACATAAGGTATGTGTGTCCTATGGTGAGAAGGTAATTTAAAGGTTAGTTTATGGAACACACCCCATTAAGGACTAGGTCAGATGGCACAAATATTCAGAAGGACCCAGACAGTGGACTAGTATGTTTGTGAGGGTCTGAGCTCACTAGGGCTTGTTCTGAGTGACTAGGGTTTGTCCCTATTTTACTCTTTGTCCTAAAACTAGGTCACTAATTAATCAATCAGCAGATATTTGTTCAACCCATTTCTCCCACTTTGTATTTTTATAATATGGTCATTGGAGTCAAATCAAGACCACCCTCCTCTTTTCTAAGACTGATTTGCGATTTCCTCATGCCCAGTTGCCAGCAAGACATCATGCAGTTGTAGGAAGGAAAAAAACTGACAAGTGAGGTTTCTGATGCTGGTGCTCAGGTAAGTGGTAACTGATTTCCATCCTGCCCTTCCCTTGCACAATGGCTTTAGATGTATTGGTACATCTCTGCTCTCTTTAGAAAGGTCACCAAGGCCCCTTCTCATCACAGGACAGCTGGTGCTAGCTAACCACCTCTAGGCTTTCTTTAATCAGCTCCATCAGTTTTCTTTCCATCCCTGCCTTAAGCAGATGAGGAAAAACTGAAAGTTTCTAAGAGTTTAAAAGAGTAAAGTTCAAGAAAGTCCAAATAATGACTCAGCATCATTAACTATCAACCAAATTCAAGATAATAATTGGGCATTAGTGTGTCTCCAGTTCCCCTACATCCTCACCACACAAAGATTAAACAAAGAATGATTTTCATGGGCTCGCACTGTGTGTATCTGAATGGTAATTACAACATAACTGTTGCTATGATCTACAATGTTTTCTTGTAGTTAACAAAAAAATGTAGGGCAGTTCTTGAGAGAAGTTTATTAATAATGAAAATGGCACAATTATATACATGAGAAAAGAAAGATCCTCTTCCATCATAAAGACTTTTAACCTTTTATTTCTAACTATCATTAAGATTAGAGCATTTCAAGAAAACAGCATGGTAACATGAATTTATCTCATACATATATTAGGTAAATGTCATTATGAACAAGATGAGAAGGAAAAATCTTTCGTTATTCATACTCCATAATGAACACATATTATGGTGTGTACACAACTGCTTCAGAATCAACAGTCCTGATACATAATTAGACCTTTATTCTCTGATGTGATGGTTACTTTCTTCCTGTTTATGCCCTTAATCTCTAAAGAAATAATTAAATGTCAGTGAGAAAAAAGTGCCAGGATGAAGAATCATTTAATCTAGGCTGTAGCTGTAAATTGTGTGGCTGAGGGGAACGCTTTAACCTGTGTCTCACTATCCTGAGGGGAGGGAGTGTTTTAACCAGTGTCTTATTCAGTGGAGTAGTATAAGGTTTTATAAAATATGTGAGTCAAAGGCAGATTCTTTACATCATCAGTTACTTTCTGGTACCCTCACATCTTGCCACTTCCAGCCAGGATCTTTCGTGGGACACAACACAATGGATTTGAGGGCTGTGACTTTCATACCGCTTTTTGCATTTCTTACACACTTGGGAATAGAATGAACCAAGATCCAAAACTCACTGCTGGACTGTAAATGAGGAAGGCTGGCTCCACCTATTCCTACTGGGGATTGTTAGAATCATCACTTTAACACACAAAAAAGACCCCCTCCCTTTTTTTTTTGCTAAAACCTCTCAATTTAATAAAGATAAATTATTCTCCTAAATCAGATGTTTCCTTATGGAATAAGTATATTGCCTTCTCCTTCCATTTCAAAATGAAAATTCTATTCACAGGTTAACAGTGTCAAAATATCCATTATCAAAAACATGGAAATGACACAAAGATACCAGCTGTCTAAAAATCATGAAATGGAAGGCAAGCAGACTTATAGAATGAGCATGCAAATGAGTAACTAGATCAGGTACGAGTGAACATATTTTTTAGATCCTACAAAGAATATCTGTGCAGTTTCCATCTTTTTGTCAGAAGTAATATTAAGTCAGAATTGTTCAGCTATATTACAACTCACTGTGTGGTAAAAAAGGGGAAGGAGGAGAGTGGCCAACTCATGGTAACTAGTTCTATAGAAGAAAAAAAGAGATGGGAATAAAATCCAGTAAAACCTGCCCTTGCTTGATTATGCAAAGTAAATTGGACTTCAGGGTACACAAATATGGACAAACACCCTTAAAACACTGCCATGGTAGAAATGGAGTCTTGTTTATCAAATAAATTCCCCTTTATCCACAACCCATAAAAATAAGAATCATGTATGTGTATCTACAAAACTCCAAAGCATCTTATGAATCAAAAAAGTTATTTACCATGCATTTTTGGTGCTAACTGCATTCTTCTGTTTTTAAATAGGATAGTTTTATTGACATGGCTAGGTTACTGAAACTAATTAGAACATATCATTTATCAATCACACAGACTAAAGGAGAGGTCAGCCTAATACTTTTAAATGAGTATGTGTCATTAAATTACCGCAAGGAAAGCTCTTTTAAAAAGATTTTTTGAGGTACTCTGTCCTGTCAGACTAGCTCTGCTAGCCCTTTAGTTGAACATCAATGGAAACTGCCTTCTCCATATTTTCTCACTGTGGGTCAGCTACAGCAAAGGTAGGGCAGAAGTCCTTATTCCTGGACTGAGGTCTCCAGGTGCCTCCCTGAAGAGTGCAGGAGTTTCTTTATTTTTCCATTTAATAGATGTGGAGCAAACATTCATGTACAGCTAAGTGGTTTGCTCTTGCATGAAAAGGTCACATAAAAGGAAATCACAGACAGAGATGTGTCACAGTCCTCCTTCAGCTCAGTTTGTGCTTCTCCTAAATGTCCCACGTGGTGACCTGCTTTAGTCTCCCTTTATGTCCACCTAGAATTCTGCCACCAAGGAAACATTCAAAAGGTTTCCTTCTAGGGTTAATTTGTGGTAAAAACAAATTTTCTTGTTCAATTAACACAAATAAGTTTAGGAAAAATGTTGCAAATCTTTAAAAGAAATCTTTGAAAGTTTTATAAATAAAATTAAGTATTTATTAGTGACAAATGTCATTAACATTTATAATGCTTTAAAGATAATTATCAATTACCTTTCAAATGTGCCCAGTAGAAAATGTCCCAGTAGTGGCTTGTACCACTGCTGAACTTACAGAGCATTTAGTATGGGAGTATGGAATAAAAAGGAATACTGAGATAAGGGAACAGCCTTTACACACACACTGTTACCTATGCACAAGTTGCACATTACCTGGATATCCTCAAGGTCTTCAATACATTTACTGTGGCATATACTCAGCCCAGAGATTTAGTTTCTGTTATCCTAATGAGTGGAATTGGCAGTTATCAAGTTAAGGGGAAAAAAAGTGAACCATGTATTTTATCTTATGGTCAATCTATCCCTGGTTAGTTATATCTGGTTAGAAAGAGATCAAAATGTTTAAGATTATTTTTACAAACATGAAGACAGCTAACATAAAATACGTGTATCAACACTACCCTATTTGCATGTGATTTAATATTAAAAGTGATGATTATTTGACCCTCTTGTCTTATCCAAAGCTACCAGTTCGAAAACATACTAAAAGGAAAGAGGAAAACTTCCATTTTCAGTTAAAACTTACATAAGATGTGGACTTTTCCTACCTATAAAGATATTTTAATTGCAATAAAAATCCTGTCACATTTCACATAAGCAGAAATTAATTTAGACAAGAGTTATTACCCAAAGGAGAAGCAATGAGAATGGGCTAACCTACACTATGTGAGGTAGTGAAGAGCTGTTTTCCAAATTAATATACCAAGAACTAGAGAAGATCTGGAATCACCCAGAACATCCTTAGATATCGGAAGCAGAGTCAGAGGACCCATTAGCTCTGGCTAGCTTTTCCCGCAAACATGCACATATATTCTCAGGGCTGTGGTCTGGACCCAACACCCATTCCCTACCTGTCCACATGATTAACTTCATCTTCCGTTTGAAAGGAACCCGCTAAACTTTATATATAGTATTGTTCTTGACAGCTAAAAAAAAAAATTGGATATGGATATACTTAGCAATAATGTGGTCTTGATTAATATGCTCAGGAAATTCAAAACTCTGGTGGAAGGATAAAGTACTAGCCTAACCCTATACTGCAGCAAATAGGTTGCTCTTTCTTTAGTCATTTAACTACCAAAGAGCTTAATATTTTATTTAGGTAAATGTCTGACTAGAAACTATACTAAAATTACTTCAAAGGCTGCTCATTCCACCTGAAAATAACAAACATGCTACAAAATATTTAGCTATTATGCCTGCCTTTTCCTGTAACAGTCTCACTGTATCTTCCCACTGGGGGAAACCCGAGGCACAGTTTTTAAGAGACCCTCAGACATTCAGAAGCAGATAGCAAATGCAGCCCCAACTCTCAGGCCCAGCTTTTTTCTTGTAGAATACTTTCCAGAACTCATATAGTTTTGAATTTCTTTAAATATAGCTTTTGGTCTTTGTAGGTATAAAAGTTGTGAAGTCTATTACGCTCTGAAATTTTAAGCTGGAAAAAAAGTTTTGTTCCACAAATTTAATGTCTTTTAATAGAAAATTCTTCCAACAGAGTTCAAAATCCAGGTTAATTATATGACATAGGTAACACGTGATCTCCATCTTCTCTAGGCTTCTCATCAGTTTCAAAATAGAAGTTTTGATTAAAGCTCTTCCCTGCCATGAAAAAAAACAAAGAACAATTAACTGAAAAAGTGAAATGTAATGAAATGCACTTTTGTTGCAGTATGTTGCCAAGCTATGTTTCTAAAATGACCAACACTTCTATTTTCTTTTTATTGGGCTACCAGTAGATGAAAATGGTAAGAGTTAGTGAAGCTGAATATATTGTAGGGATTTATGTGCCTAACATATTTTAAATGCCATCTTCCCACAGTGAACATCTCTTTTTATGTTACAGTGTCTGTGTGGACTTTCTCTTGTTTCAGTGGATCTTCTTGTTTAAACTTCTTTATTATATGTATTTCTTTGTATATGTTAATGCCAGACAGTTTGCCAGAAGAAACTAAAAGAGTCAATCTGTCTGTCCCTTATTTGGCTCTCCTGAACCCTTTTTCATTGACTGTCTTAGCCTAGATGAGATGTATTTTTAATTCAGGGAACACATTCAGGCATGTGGGTCTGGTGGAATCTATAATGGGCCTTAAGGAATCAGCCTTGTTCTTTCTGCTGGATACCAAGAAACAGAGCCACAGGCCATCTGCTCGCTGGAGACGCAGGGATGAGAATGTGTCCTGCTTTAAAAGGCAGACTCCTGGTAATACTGCTGTGATAGCATTCAGCATTCAACAAGCTCTCAAGGACAAAGTCTGATGTTCAGAGATTTCTAAAGGAATCTCCACTGCGCATATGGAATTGGGACAGCATCTTCCTTGGTTTCCTTAGATGTCAATTTACCCCTTTCTATCAGAGAGGAACCATGAACAAGGGGCTGCCTATCAGAAAAAAAAGGGATTTGGAGGAATCAGGGCCATGGGTATTATTCTGACCCTTCACCAGTTTCTTCTACAAGCATGCATGAATTGCTCTGGACTTTTTTCTTCTAAAACCCAGGTGAAAGTACCTGACTTGAGGGAACACATCCAGGAGGAAGCACCTTTGTGAGGGCAGCAGTAAGACCAAATATCAAAGCCAAATTATATAATCCCACCCACTAAACCCAGTTAATGCCCATATGGTCTCTACAAGGTAGTGTTTTTTTTGTAACATAGGTCTGATTATGGATCCTGGGGAAAAATGAAAAAAATTACAGAACACTTGCCCAATATGGGCAAAACAAATGAAAAGAGATAGAATGAAATATAAGATGAACCTGATAAGGGCAAGAGATACACTTTAATGAGACTTCTGTAATTCAAAGTCTGTGAAAAGTATTTTATAGCATTAAATCACAGATGATCTCTATGGTAACAAGAGAGAAAATATGACATGATCCAGGAATCTCTAGGCCAAAACAGATAATGTCTTAGTTTTGATTAAATCTTCTGAGCCATGTGCTATCCTTGTGATCTTGACTAAGTGCCTTCCTGTCTCTGAGGCTTACTTTCCCCATTTATGGAACTTACATAAAAAGCATTCAACTTATAAAGTCATTATGAAGAATAAATGAGGTAATCTGTGTGGAGGTGTATTAACTGTAAAGAACTCGACAAACTGGTTATCGCCACAAGCCATATCATGTGACAGGAAGCACGTGCGCACACTGGGGCCCTGCTCTAAGGCACATTGGTAGGGCCCTGAACCCGGGGCTGTACCAAACGCTCACATTTGATGTTGTCTCACAAAAGCTGCAAACTCAGGATCACTGGCATACAGCTCCAAAACTCTCATTCGTTCTTGAATTTCCTTTTAAGAAGAAAAAGAGCCCATACAATGCATTAGAAAAACCTCAACAGTCTTTTAAAAGCAGCTGTAAGTTTTATAAGGAATTACAGCTTTCTGGGATATCCAAGGAAGAGCTAGGAAAGAACGGCCTTTTGAGAGATATGGAAGGTTTGGATACATGAACTGCTCTGAAAAACTCAGATTTACATTTCTAAGTAAGGGAGGGAGGAGGGAGATAGCATTTGCTAATAATGGAAAAAGAAATGATTGCATAGGGAATAGGTACAGCCCAGAATTATATACTCTGCATACCACATCGACTAGGAGGTAGCATGAGGTAAAAAACAAGCCAGGAAATACTTTTCATCCTTTCTTGAAGCCTATGTTACATGCATGCATGTGTGTGGGCATATACACACATGCACATGCAAACACAGGCACGTACATGCACACGTGCACACATATGTGCACGTGCACTCACATGTGCACGTACATGCGTGCACATGCAACACACGCGCGCACACACACACACCAGCTACAGCAGCAGAGCAGCAGCACAAAAGCAAAGTTCCTTACCTCTTGGGAAAGCTCACTATTCTCATACATCTGCCTGATTTCTTCCCTGCTCAGACTGCCAATCACCTCCCCGCCTGCACAGCTATAGAAGGGAGGCTGAGGACAGGGTCCCTCGGGATGCCTGCGTCCACCCCCGGGTCTTTCATACACAGGGTTGTGCTTCAGCGCATTTTCAATGGTTGCGAGGCTGTCAGGCTGCCTGCTGAAGTCACAAAAAAAAACATATGGTTGGTTCAGGTTCTTTGGATGTTCAACTACTTGGGAGACTATGTACCTGGGGCAAGATTTCTGTTGGGGAAGAGAAAGCAATGAACTGGATACAAATATCCCCGTTTTTTTTTTCAGAGGTGACTCTGAAAAATATCCAGAGCAATCTCAAAAATTACTGATCAGGTGTTACTATTATTATCTCCTCAACTAGATGGCAAGCACCCTGTGGAATTATTGTTCCATGTCTCATTTACCTTTATGTGCCTCATAATGCCTGGCACTCAATAAATGGGGAAAGATGTTGATGGGGAAATACTTCTGCCAATATGCAGTATTTCCTTCAGCCAGTACAGCTCCATCATTCGACAGTATATAAACCAAAATCAGTGTGAAACTACACAGATAATTTGATAGAAAAATAAATATAGGAAGACCTCAGTTAAATTCAATTCAGGTCTTCAAATATTTACTGAGCATTGATTACGTATCTGGAACTATTCTAGATGCTGATGACACAGTTTTTTGGAATCCCTGTCCTGAATAAGATTACAGTCTACTACAAAGTCAGACTCCATAAAAAGTGTAAGAACAATGATGGAAGTATGTCCTGGGTGCTCTAGGAACCTAGGAGAGGTGCCTCCTTAGCCATGTCAAAGGGTGAGGAAAGATAACCTAGACCTGAGGCAGAAGTAGCTCTTATAGATTCTAGAAGCACAGGAGCAAAGTACAGCCAGGGATTGAACAACCCAAAGGACCTAGATCCCTAGTTTAGCAAATAGAACAGGCTTTATTTACTAAAGAAGCTACACTTAAGAAAGAACCAGACTTCACTCCTTGTCACATTCTCATGCAGATTTAAAATCTGGCCAATTGGCTCTGGAATGAGCCAAAGGGGAACAAAGTAACATACCTGGTCCTCACACAAGGGCCTCAACTCATCACCATCACCCTTCCAACCTCTTGCCCCCATGAAAAAGGCATTCTAGCCACATACAGTTAATGATGCTATTCCTTCAGTGTCCCTTGAGATCTGTGCATGACTCCTTGACTTTGTTTCATGCTCATTCAATTAGCTAGAAAGTGTCACACCCCATCCATGGCAAACATCTACTCTTCTGTCCAGCTAAATATCCTAACCATTATTTCAACTTCTTAAGACTTTCTCTCCCAGGCAAAATGATTCATCCCTCACTTAGGACCTTCAGCATCTTATTCATACCTCTAGTTACCTCTGTTTCCAATTTGACATTTTTGAGAACCAGGATTGTGTTTTTATTCAGCATTACAGCTCTCTCCTCTCTACCCAGATCCTTGTCCAATATTTGGCACATGGTAAGTACAAAATGAGTGAATAAAAGGAACATTTTATTCCATCACAGAGCAGTCGTCTTTATGTACCTGGAGGACCTCTTTCTTTCTCTCCCAACATGCTGAGCTTGAAGTGTCCTGGTCAGGAAGAAGATGACGGCAGAAGAGATGAGAGCGAGTCCGACCACGGAGGCGACAGTGATGCCCACCACGAAGGGCTCAGATACAAACTCCTCACAGTGCTCACCCCGGTACCACCAGTTCTCACCCACCCGGCATCTGGAATGAGAAGGGAGCAAGTCCAAAATGGAATCACTTTGTTGAAAGTGACAGTGAATAGTGAAACCTTCAGTGGAACTGGAGAAAGGTAGAGAAATAAATGCTGACCACATGAATCTTCAGGAAAGAAGTGAATATACGGGTTAAGTGATCATACCCCTTAAGGTTGGGCCTGATGCCCGGCACAGACCCCATACACCCTCTGTGACTGTTTGTAAATGACTAATAAAAAGTTGAATAGACTTAGGAAAGTACTTTCTTATTTTCGGATAACAAAAAAGAGGCCCAGGAGAAAAGTCAGTGGTGGGAGATCACATAATTAGTCGGTGACACAGCTGGGTCTACAGCCCAGGTCACCAGACTGCTTATGTCCTTTCTCCACACTGCAGAGATCCACATGTCAAGCCACAGACTTGTACAAAAATGCCTTCAATTACAAGAGTAGCAAGGGCAATACTGCTTTTTAAAATAATACTAATTTTTCTAGAAATTGACAGACTATTTTCCCCCTGAGTTTTCTAGCTAAACTTTATACGTTTATACATAGAAGAGTCTGGATCATTTCCATTTATTTCCTGTTTTTGGCATCTTTGTCAAATTTGCCCATTTTAACATTCACAAACTGTCCTCTTATTTATGTTTCTCCTGTTTATTCTCAGCATTCTCTCCTTTTATACCAATTTGACTTCGGTTGTATGTGGTTGGGAGGTGGGTTTGCTCTGCATTGTATACGGAGAGTGAGCAGGGAAGCATGCAAAGACGACCTGAATCGGCTCATCTGTCTGCTGCATTTTCTTCAGTTCTAAAAATGGATCTCAGATACTTAAAAAAAATATATTTATTATAACTTCAAAGACTTAACTACTTGCTCTTCTTTAGTTTTGAATACTCAGCAGGACCAACAGCAGCCCAAAGCCATTAAGAACATAATCCAAGTAGAGCAATAAAACTTCACACTTTCAAATACAACATAAAGTACTGATCTTCTGCCTAAACCTAATTTGAGCACCAACTGCCTCATTATCACCACAAAGAACCATAACACAAAGATCTCCAACTACTCAAGCACTCAAAGTCAAACAAATATAATGTTTTTCCTACAGTTCTCTAAAAGTATAAAATAAAATAATCAATTGAACTGAGTAATTGACCTGCTCTCCACATGAGAACCTGACGGCACTGATCTATTGTCTAGATATAGGTTCTATAATAAATATTGTTGTGATTATACTAAAATCATAGGTGTAGACCCCAGAGAAAGTATTTATATCTTGTAAAGCCAAAAGTCCTAACTACAGCATACCTACAAATAGCCCCATGTCCAGGCATAATATCACACTTTCCATCATTCAAGCAGAAGTCAGGTTGTAAGTCACAGAGACTCTGGCAGGGCAGTTCATCCACACTCAGGTACCCAGGGTAGCATCTGCACTCTGCTTCTCCACTCCAGGGGCTGACCAAACACTCAGAAAATTCACTGCATGCCTGGAACTTGCAAGGGTTGGCTTGATCACCTGAAACATGAAACAAACCAGAGAATCACACTAGGAAAGGCAAAACACAGGAATTGGGTCCACTAAGACTCCCCTCTCCAAAATACCAAGGGAAAACTCCTTTTCTGAACCATTAAAATACACCATCACCACCAATACACACACAAAGTTCTGATTCATCTTTGGTTGATGAGCTTTTGTCAAATTTCTCTCAAACCTAAAGCCAAAGCAAAAAACCCAATGAACTTGTTAAGCTTCTACATATTTTACCAAGGAAGCATGTAGGAGCTTTAAAATCCATGTTAAATAATTGTAGATCTAAATGAAACATGGTTTTCATGTACCTTTCATTTCCACCAACCCTATCCTGCTGTAGTTCACCTCCTCTCTGCACGTAATGCTATATGCCCCATCCTACACAGAGAACATGGGATGGAGAGACAGAACCCAAAGAAGGGTAGGAGCCTTAGGATTTAGTATAACTCTATATGGCAGCTAAATCCGTTTGAGATTTGTGGAAGCCAGTGTCAGAGAAATATATCAGCCCTGCACCTCCTCAGACTATTCCCAACAATATTTAGGCTTCAGTAACTTCATTTTTCATTGATGAGATGAGAAAAAATGACAATTACAAATAATTAGGGAATAACTGGTCAAGAATGATGTAAGACATTGACTGATGGGTTTCCCATCCTACCATGGTTGCACTAAGTTTTTCATTGGTGAATGGCAATCTGTGAACAGCAAATTAGCAAATGGTGACATAGATACCAAAGACAGAGGCAACAGACATAAACCATCCATTGACTTACCTATGTGAAAAAGAGTAAAGTTTAGCTAGAAGGCTAAAGGAAGTTAGAAAACAAAAAACATAATCTCAGTTTCCAAAGAAATTAATGTGGGTTTGAGAATTAATGATTTCCTTGCTGCTCTGGAGATTAAAGACACTTGGCACAAATCTGTGGCCCTGGAGCTTGGAGAAGCTCTGCAGCTGGTCTTCCTTACCCCATGTAGGAACAGGACGATGTACTGGGTTGAATAGTGTCCCCACAAAATTCATGTCAACCCAGAATATGACCTTATTTGGAAATAGGATCTTTGCAGATGTGATCAAGTTAATATGAAGTCATACTTGATTAGGGTAGGAGGCCCTAATCCGTAACTGGTGTCCTTAGAGGAAGAGGAAAATTTGGACACAGAGATAAGGCACACAGGAAAGAATGCCCTAAAAAGATGGAGATAGAGATTGTAGTGATGAATCTACAAGCCAAGAAATATCAAGGATGGCTGACAAACACCAAAGCTAGGAAGACGCAAGGCAGAATCCTTTCCTAGAGCTTTCATGGCCCTACCACACCTTGATTTTGGATTTCTAGCCTCCAGAACCATGAGAGAACAAATGTCTATTGTTACAAACCACCCAGTTTATAGTGCTTTGTTACAGCAACCCTTTCTTTAGGAGGCTAACTAGGAAACTTTGAATTACAGAAACCTTAATTAGAAAACTAATACAGGGGAACACTGATAAGATGCTCATATACCAAGGAGAGCACATAACTGTGCTGAGAGATGAGCAGATTCTACATGGGGACCTCACAGTAGGATTCCACTGTGTATTTCCTAAGTCTTCACATCCTTTTCCTAGCCTTTGTTTTGTGGCTTTGTAATCAGAAAAGAATCTACCTGGTCTAGCAGTGAGGGACAGGGATGTACATAGGTGATAAAAAGGATGGTAGTGCATGCTTCTTTTGTTGATCAAAGTGCAAGAGTTTCTGAACACTGCAGGTGAAAACAAGTTAGGCAAGAGACAAGTCAATCTTGTCTCTGGACCATCGAGATAAAATAATGTTTTAATCTGAAGGCCTTTAACTGAAAATATACATACAGCAGAAAAATTCTATTTAAAAAACATTCTGAGTACAGGTCAAATGTCTGGGGGGAGGAAAACAGAATCTATAAGAGGACAAAGATAAGTGTTGCTCCCTTTTGCTTCCAGACTGAGGAGACCAAGACTAGTATTTTAATTCTGTAAATAAAAAAGTCTTTCTTGTCCTTTGTGCTGGTTATAGGTGGAGGATGCCCAGAATAGATGACCTTCTGTTTGGAAGGGTACCTTAGTGACCATGGGGAGGCAAAGGTAGACCTGGAGCTAAGCTTGAATAGGAGACAGGGATCTAAACCATACAATGATTACATTATGGCTTCCCAATGCAGGCTAAGAGAAGGATTGATGGGTGCAGGAAAATGAGAGTGGGGTAAATGTAAAGAGGATCTGGAAAGATAGCCAGAGTAGCCAAAGTAACATGGTAGCTGGCTGGGTCCTGGAGAAAAAGTTGGCCAATAAGAGATGCCTTTGAAAGTGTGGCTGAGGAATTTTAGGATTTTTATACCCAAAAATAATATTTTTAAGCTGTCTGCTGTGCTTAAATGGCTATTCCATCACCTTCAGGGAAAAAGGGTCTTTTTAAAACCTCTTCCATGACCCTCATACCATCAGCAAATATCTGATAGATTCAACTGCCTTGTGTTAGAAGTCCTTTGGCAAAGTAAAAAAATGGGACTGATCTGTGTTGGGTTAACATGAAGAATAACCACAAGGGTCAAGACAAATGTAAGACTGGAAATTCAACAAAAGTAACTCCCAGCTAGAGTTGATTAAGAGATATTTAAGTTCTCTGATAACTCCTATAGATTTTGGGAGAGGCAGGGCCATGGATTCAGGTCTTACATTGCACATGGGAGAGGCTAATGCCAGTTCATTTGAATATTAAAGGAAAAGATGACCCTATAAACCTGGATGACTTGCCATGCAGGTGACATGTATATGAGTTACATACAAATTTGAAGTAAATGCAATTTATTTACTGTACTTCTCTTTAAAAAGAAGTGGATTGACTTTTGCAAAGTTTTATAAATCATAACTGCTTGCATTTATGTGGCTAGTCCAAATGGCTTATATGTTATTTGTTTAATCCTTACAGTTAGCTCCATGAAATACAGAGACCAGATATTAATACTATTCCCATTTAATATGAGGGACTAAGGCTCAGCGATAAAATGGTTCATCTAGGGTCACACAAATGTTAAACGGCAGAGCAGAAGCAAGAAACTAGGCCTTCCAAATTATAATTAATTGCTCCTTCCACTAGCAGAAAATGTGCAAACAACCTTTGAGAACTCAGGTAGCAAGAGATTTGGATATTGGGGGATTAGTTCAATCATTTTCCTCACTTTCAATGAATAATTGAAAATCCTTTGAGGATTTCAAGGGAAAAACTGTTTGCTGCTTTCCCAGCAAAGAACAGAGCTGACTCCCAAACCAGTTGGAGTAAAAGGTACTGGAGAAATGTAAACCCAGACATGCCACCTTATTCCAACTCAAAACTACTGTCCTCTGGTATGTGTGAGGAAAAAGAGAACAAAGTTTGAGTATTCAATAGTATTCTCTGCATCCAAGCCTTCTAAATAAAAACAATGTTTCATTTCATTCATTCACAGTATTTTTGAGTACCTTCTATGTGCAAGACACTGTGCTAGGTTTTGGCTAGAAAGTGGTTAATAAAACATGCATAGTCTCAGTCCTTGTGGATAGCTCAACTGCAGAAAAAAGCCATTAAGCAACTAAGTGCATAAATTGGCATTATTACAATAGTTATAAACTCCACAGAGGAAAAGAACATGATGTTACCAGAAAGACTAATAGGAAAGACCCTAGACTATGGCGAATTAAGTCCAAGTCCTGAAGAAGAGACATTTGAACTGAGGCATCAAACGGTGAGAAGAAGTCAGCCAAGGGGGGAAAAAGAGTTTCAAGTAAAGGGGACGGTGTGTGCAAAGGCTTTATGGCAACACAAGTTTTCAATCTGAGGAGCTAAAATCAAGATAGTTTGACTAGAACACTGTGAGCAAAGAAGTTAGTTTCATTAGATGATACTGGGGAAGAAGACAGGCCCCAGGCCTTGTTGCTAGTGAACCAAGGGGTCATTGAAGTATTTTAAGAAGAAAAGTGAAATAATCTGACATTTTAGAAAGAACACCCTGCCTGCTGTCTGGAGAATGGCTTGGGGAGTGAAACAAGAGAGGTGGTGGGGCAAGTGGTCCAAATGAGAGACGATGACGGCTTGGCCTAGAGTAGTGGCAGTGGAGATAAAGAGAAGCACACAGATTTGAGATATACTTAGAATTCAGAATCAATATAAGTTTAGTGAGTGACTGAAAGTTGGGGGCAATGGAAACTGAGGTACCAGAATAACTTTCCAGGTTTCTGGCTTCAACAGCTGAGTTGGATATAACTTCCACTTATCAAGATGGTGAATCTGAGAGGAGTAGATTGAGCTGGAAGGTCAGGAGATATAGAAAACAAGAGGTCATTCTTAGATATCTTAAGTTTGAAATACATAGAATACATCCAAGTTGCGATAACCAAATGCATAGTTCTGCATCAATTCTGGAGCTCAGAAGTTAAGTCTGATCTGCTATTAAAATATGTAATTAACATTTATGTAAGACCTACAATAATGGAAATGGGTGAAACAGCTTAGGAAAATAATACAGAAGGGAAAAAAAGTCCAAATCTACTGGGCTGGGCAACATAGACAAGAACAGATCCTGTGGATAAGTAAAAGAGAGAGCTAGACAGAGTAGGTAGAGAAGGGAATGGGAGGTGAACAAGTAAAGATAATGTGTGTGGACAACCCCTTAAAAAAATTAATGTCCTCTGAAGAGATCATTTAATAATTATCAAGATGTGGAAACTTTGCCAAGTACTCTTTTTCCTACAAGTATTGAATTTATCTTGACTCAGTGTAGAAGGAAATACACAGGAATAGTCACTGAACTCTACTAAGAAACCATTACAGTATTCAGTATCATTCATTACCTGATTCCACATCAAGAGAGTATTTATCAATAGCCAAGTTCATGGTTTGGTAGGCAGTGGTGCAAAAGTCTTCCAGGATCATGTATACAGCACTGTTGACATTAAGAGGGACAGACTCGGCAAACTTCATTCGGCTGTTCACCACAATACTGCCATTTCTGAAGTTCAGGATTTCTAAATTCTGGAACCCTGTGAGATTTGACTGGAGATAGGGAACCAGCTACAATACATGAAAATAAGTCAACTTATTGACAAGGTTCTGTACTTCGTTCAATGCATACCCAAAAAAACCCCAAAAAACAAATACAAACAAGGATGACCCTTCCCCCACTTTTCCAAACTGTATCCTATTTACATTATTTAAACTATTCATCAATAAAAGTACAAATTGTGAATTATTTGAGAGTCATGGGATTTTTCACAGTGGTATTTAGGAACCCCATGGAACTCACAGTTTTAGATACCCGGAGACTTTATTCTGTTTCACTAAAAGATCAAAATGGAGAAGGCATCATAGGTACCTTCAACACATTGGCCTCATAATAAAATCTGAAAAGAAATATTCAACTTTTTTAGTCCCATAATTCATGGGAGACAATCTTCAGTATCTAAGTTGTCATGTCACCTTCCAGCCACATTTGTGTTTTCCATTTCTTGTATCCACCTGTCTTATTGTTTTCCTACCAACCCTAGGCCATGAAACTATTTGCAGATGATAGGAAGTGACTGTCCACAGCAGACCATCTTCCTTCACTCTGATCTTATGTGCTTGGGGGAAAGAGGGTTGGTTCATATATGATTAATTATTCACTAATGCTCATGTTTCACTTGTCGTGCTTACCAATTCTAAGAATCTTTGTTCCAGGGCTTTATACTCCAAAGAGTTCTTATTAAACAGATCTTCTGAAAACATCATGTTAGTCACCCGGAGGCTGAAGAAAACCAGCAAGGCACCTGCAGTCTGGGCATGACGCGAGTCCCCTCCTTCTGCTGGCCAAGCCACAACAGCCCTCTCTGTAGAGTGAGCTCTTGCAGGCAGCTCCACATAACTACCAACCTTGCCATTCTCCTCTGGGACTAGCTCAGGCTGATAGTAATCTGTGCCGGTCTGGTCCAGTTCTAATGAAATATCCTGTACGCCCATAATTACTTCATCCTTCAGCAGGGTGGAGCTTGTGGTTGGAAGCAATTTGGTGGATTGAGCCATGGGAGATTTCCACCAGAGCTTGTCAATGCTCTGTGGCGTGCTTGTCAGGGTGTCTCCAGACAACTTCTCTAGGGACGAAGTTCTTGCCCAAACTACATTGGATTCTGGCGATATGGTCCACAAAGGTTGTGTATCTGGCTTCACTACTGAAACCTTGCTGCCAAACAATTCATGTTTGGATGACTCTGTAGTTTGTTCAGTATCCCCCTTTAGAAAGGGTTCTTCTTGATCTGGTTTATCAGTAGAAGCAGAGTTTGCTATAGATGTCAGTAGAAGAGGTGCTTTGTCAGGGACCTCTGATGCATGCTCAGTTGGCAAAAGTGAATCCTGATCTTCAAGCCATGACTTGGACAGTGGCTCTGTACTCTTCTCTAATGAAGTGTCACTCAGAGGCCAAGCAGTTAGATCCACGTTTTGACCAGACCCAGAACCTAAACCACTCTCAAATAGGAACTCTTTATCTATGGATGTGTCTGACATCACAGTGCTCACTTCTAATTGGTCTTTGACTTTGGAGGCCAAAGAGTCCAAGCCAAAAGATGTAGTTATTTCTTCAGCAAGAAGATCTAATGCAATAGAGGAGGCCAGATATGGTGAGGATGGCAAAGACATCCCAAAGTCTTCCATGGGTGGTACTGTTTCTTTTGGCATAGGATGAATGAATGGACTTGAAGGCAATGGATCAATAGAAAGAAAATCTTCTGACCCTTCTACTTTGGTTAATCCTAAAAATCAAATTTTCCATTAATTAATTTACAGAGTTGCCAAAAATACATTCCTAGTTCTCTTAATAAAGCTATCTACTTGTTTTTTTCTCATTAAGGTAGAAGGAACAGCTATTGACTTTTACTTTGATCACTCATGAATATATCTTCTTCCCTCAGCTATTAAAATAATTTCAAACACTTGATTTTTCTTCCTCTATAAAAAATAATGAACTGCTGGTAGCTATATTAACAACAAAGACTAAATCTAGTAGAAACTTAGGGAGAGAATTCCTTAGGAAATTCTTTTTGTCTTTGAAATTCCTATTTCCTTATTATATTTATTGCCCATTACCCTTCAGTTTCACCTAATGCTCAAAATCCTAGACTCATTATTTATATTTTTATTCATCTTCTCTTTCACATGCATATGCCACCCATGAGTCACACTGATTTTTCCCTTCCTCCCAAACATCTAAATCATCTACTTGATTTTCATTTCTTAATCCCTGCTATAGCTGCCCTAGTTCAGGTTCTCCCCTGTCCAAGTAAAATGTAAGCTAAAAATCTCTATACTGGGCCCCCAATTAATCCTTTTAAAATATATTGGAATAATCTTCTTTGATGTTCTTCACTGGCCACTTCAATGTTCAAGTAACTGAAGTAGTTCTTTAATAGTAATTAAATCAGATTATATATTCTTTAGTAAGAACATCAAAATATCTATTAATTGATCCCTGCCCTAGCCCACCAAATTCATTTCTTATTATTTACCAGTTTGGACTCTTTATTGTAACCAATCAAATCTTACTGTTTCCTCCTTCACACAACTTTCCCAGGATATTCCCCCTAATAGATGCTATCATGCTTTTCTATTAACCTTAGTTTCTTCCTCCCTTCAACACCCTTGAAATAATAAAGATGTAGGGAACGTTATTAGAATCCCTTACCATCTTCTAATAAGTGAGACCCAGAAGCCCTTTCTTCAGAAGCCACCGGCGAGCCCGTGTGAAGCACCGCTGGGGTGACAGAATGAAGTGTCAAGCCACTAACGTCTAAAGCCTCCGGGGAAGCACTGCGGCTCTCCTTCAAGGAAAAGGCTGACTCGGATAGAGACCCTAAATCTCCCAAAGGGCTTTCTGACCAGAGCTCCCTGCCAGTGGTTGGGAGAGGACCAGGGCTGAAATCACGTGGTGGAATACTGCTGGTGGTGGATTCATCTGCTGAGGGCCATTCAGCTTGAAGGGTATTTTCCTAGGAGGAAAAAAAAAGGCTAAATCATATCATAGATTAAAAAAAAAAACACATAAAAATGATTTTAACACTGCCTACCTATTTCAGATACCACCTATCTATCTACATTCACAGATTTTGTATGGACAAGGAGCTGATTAATATTGGGTGTGGGTAGGAGACAGGGCTTCCAGAATTAAAAAGATCTATATCCAAATCTCAATTTAACCACTTTCTAGTTGAAAAAATCTAGAGAAAAACATATACTTCCTGGATCTCATCTTTAAAATGGGGATAAATGAGATGATACATTTAAAAGATCCCAAACAAAGTGAATGTGTGGGAAAAATATTCTTTCTTTTGCTTGAGATGGTTCCTCTACTTCTGTTTTATTAGCTTAAATACTTTAAATACATATAAGTTACTTGTATCTGTAATTTGTTGTCAAAGACCTAAGCACATTGCCCACAGCAGGAAAGAACAATCAGCAATTTTATTAGTCATTCTGAAAGGTATTTAATTAATTAAGGCTTTTGTTTTGGTATGGCCCTACATTAAAATGAAGGAATAACAACATCTGTGAAATGGTATCACACTTACATTTTCTTTCTAGTGACATTTTCCTAATGTACTCTTAACCTTACCTTAAAATTTAGCTTTAGGAATAGAAAAGTAGACAGAATCAAAATCTTTAACATGCTAATTATTTAATCCTCTGAAGATCAGTCTATGTAAAAAAAAAGTTTAGTGCTCATGCTAATAAATAAAATGATCATGGTATTTGATGGGAATTTATATATTTCAATGTATCTGGGTTCTGAATAACAAAAAAACAAGAAGTGGCATATGCACAGAAAGAATTTATAAAATATTTCTTGGATGAAAATTGAAAAAAGGAAAAAAGAGAAAAGAATAATTATTCTCCATCCTAAAGAATATTAATATCCCATGGAAACTTGTTAAAAACATCAGTGTCCAGGCTCCACACCCCAGACATCCTAATTTAATTTGGTCTAAGGGTGGGCCCTAGACATGGTACTATTAAAAAGCTCCCCAGGAGATGATACAGCCTGACTGTGTTCTGGTTGTACTATTCTAGCCTAGATTCCTAAAATAGTTTTTTAGTTGCTGAATTGGCATATTTCTCATCAACAAGACCCTTTAAGAAATCTGTATGGTTGGGTTTAAGGTAATGGTAGGAAGATTCTAAGCTTACCTCCTCCCACAGACATATCAAATCTGCAGTTAACATGGAATAATTTCCTCTAAAAAAATTCCTGAAAACTAGATGAGCAGTGCCTCCACAACAAAGGATAAAGGCCACATTAGGATAGGTAGGACAGGTAGAGACATACTCTCACCAAAAACCCCAAACCAGGCACAGTGACCCACAACTGGGAAGAATCCCCAAAACACAGAACACTTATCTGAAGAGTGAGAGGTTTGTGGTCTGTGTCAGACACTCCAACCCTTATATACTGCACTAGAGAAACGAGCCTCCAAAACCAACAGGGATTTCAACAAAGAGAACCACAGAACTACAGGGAATGAAGAACCACTCCTAAAGAGCTTGCATGCAGATTCACATATCCTGGACCCAGCACAAAAGAAGCAGTTTGAAAGTGCCTAAACTATATATGAAGGAAACACACTTACTCATCCTCAAGTGACTACCAAAAAGGAAGGAACTTGTTGGAAATCTGAGGATGGAAGCACTGGCTAGTGCCATTTTTATGATTGCATTCTGCCTTGCAAATGCTGGCACTGGTGGACACCATTCTGGCAATCTCCCTCCAACATGATGCATTGTACAGGTGGATGCATCCTGCCTGCCCCACCACACTGCAGCAACACCGCAGTCGGGGGTGGGTGTGTCCCACACAGGGGATGCCCCTGGAGTGTCTGGCCCTGGTGGCTAGGGATACTGTGCTTCAGGGCCCCTGAGTCAACTCCTACACAAAGCCACAACTTCAAGCTGTTTTACCTAATACACAGAAACAAACACAGAGAATCAGGCAAAACAAAGAGACAGAGGAATAAGGTCCAATGAAAAGAACAAGACAAAATCTCAGAAAAAGACTTTAATGAAACAGATAAGTTATCCACCTGATAAGAAGTTCAACACAATGGTCATAAAGATGCTTACCAAACTAGGGACAAGAATGGATGAATACAGGTGAGAACATCAACAAAGCAATAGAAAATATAAGAAAGTACCAAACAGAAGTCAAAGAACTGAAGAATACAATAACTGAACTGAAAAATGCAAAGTTCAACAGCAGACTGGATCAAGCAAAATAATAGGTTAGCCAGCTGGAAGACAAAGCAATGCAATTCACCCAAATAGAGCAGCAAATAACCCAGAATTTTTAAAGATGATGATACCTGAAGGGACCTGCAGGAAAGGATCAAGGGATATAACATCCACATTATTGGGGCCCCAAGAAGAAAAGAGAGAAAATGGGGCAGAAAACTTATTTGAAGAAATAATGGTTGAAAATGTCCCTAATCTGGGGAAGGAAGCTGACATCCAGTTACAGGAAGCCCAAAGAGTTCCAAACAAGATCAATCCAAAGAGATCCAAATGAAGATACATAATTAAAATGCCAAAAATTGAAAAGAAAGAAAAATCTTAAAAGAAGCAAAAGAAAAGTAACTTGTTGCATACAAAGGAAATCCCATAAGGCTATGTGCAGATTTTCCAGCAGGCCCTTTGCTGGCCAGAAGGAACTGACATGACATAATAAAAATACTGAAAGAAAAAAACTTCCAACTAAGAATATTTTATCCAGCAAAGTTATCCTGAAGAATGTAAATTTGCCAGATAAATAAAAGCTAAAGGAGTTCAGCACTACTAGACTAAATATACAAGAAATGTTAAAGTGATTTCTTTAAGCTGAAAAGAAATCGCTCTAATGACAAGAAAACATACAAAAGTAAAAAACTCACAGTGCAAGTAAATGCATAGTAAAGGTAGTGGATTAATCACATAGGAAGGTCAAAAGAAAAAAGAAAAATTAACTAAAATTACAATAATTTGTAAAGGGATACATAAAATGAAAAGATGTATAATAGAACATTAATAATATAAAATGTGGGGTCAGGAACAAAATGAAACTTATTGAAAGTACACAAAAGAAAACTAAAATAAATCTAAACCTGACATTAAAAAAAGTTGTCAAACCACAAAGGAATAGAGAAATAGGAGAAGATAAGAGCACCAAGTAATTACAAAAACAGCCAGAAAACCCTTAACAAAATGGCAATAAGTATACACCTATTAATGCTTACTTTAAATGTAAATGAACTAAATTTTTCAATCAAAAGACAGAGTGGCTGAATGGATGAAAAAGAAACACAACTAATCTATATACTACATAGAAGAGACTCACTTCAGAAGCTAGGACACAAAGACTATAAGTGAAGAGATGGAGAAAGATATTTACCATGCAAATGGAAATGAAAAGAAAGCAAATGAAGTTATAGTAATATCAGACAAAAAATACTTTAAAACAAAGACTGCAATAAAAGACAAAGAAGGGTATTAATGATAAAGGATTGAGTAAAGAAAGAAGATGTAACATCTATGCCTATATATGGACCCAAAATAGAGGTACCAAAATATATAAAGTGAATTTTAACAGACCTAAATGTAGAAAATGACAGCAATACAATAATAGCAGGGGAACTTTATACCCCACTTATATCAGTGGGTAGATCCCCCAGGCAGAAAACCAATAAGGAAACACTTACCTTACTTAAGAGAATAAGCTAGAAAGATTTTATATATATAAAGAACATTCCATCTAAAAGCATCAGAATACATATTCTCACATGCATGTGGAATATTCTCTAAGACAGATCATGTGAGGCCACAAAACAACTCTCTATAAATTCAAGAAGACTGAAATCATATAAAGCATCTTTCTAACCACATGGTATGAAATTAGATATCAATTACAAGACTACAACTTAGAAGAACACAAAAATTTGGATATTAAACAACATGCTACTGACAACCAATGGGTCACTGAAGAAATCAAAGGATAAATCAAAAATACCTAGAAATGTGACAACAGAAATATGACATTCAAAAATCTATGAGATGCAGCAAAAGTGATTCTAAGATGGAAGTTCATAGCAATACAAGCTTAACTCAGGAAAGAAGAAAAATTTCAAATAACCTGACTTTGTCTAAAGGAACTAGAAAAAGAACAAAGCCCAACATTAGCAGAAGGAAGAAAATAATAAAGATCAGAGCAGAAATAAATAAAATAGAGACTAAAAAGAAAATAGAAAACATCAGTGAAACTAAGAGGCTAGCTCTTTGAAAAGATAAACAAAATGGAGTAATCTTTAGCTGGACTCACCAAGAAAAAAAGAGAGAGGACTCAAATAAAATAAAAAATGAAAGAAGATAAGTTATCACTGATACCACAGAAATATAGAAGATCATAAAACACTACTATGATCATACACCAACAAATTGAACAAGCTAGCAGAAATGGATAAATTACTAGAAACACACAATATTCCTAAATTTAATCATGAATAGAAAATCTGAATAGATCAGTTGCTAGTCAGGACCTTGAATGAGTAATTTAAAATCTTCCAACAAACAACAAACCTCTCCCAAATTCCATATCCAGATGGTTTCACTGGTAAATTCTACCAAATATTCAAAGATTTGATATCTACTAATCTCGAATCCTACCAAAAAATTGAAGAGGAGGGAACTCTTCCAAACTCATTTTGCAAGGCCAGCATTACTCTGATACCAAAACCAGACAAGGACACCACAAAAGAAAGAAAATTACAAACCAATGTTGCTGATGAACATAGATGAAATCTTCAACAACATATTAGAAAGCCAAATATAACAATGCATTAAATGGATAATATACCATGACAAAGTGGGATTTATTCCAGGGCAAAATTTCCACAAATCAATGAATGTGATCAACTGAATTAACAAAATGAAAGACTCATATGATCATCTCACTAGAGTTAGGTAAGGCATT